AGGTGAAAGGGTTAGGGTTAGCTGGTGCTGTCTATAGTTTAATAAAAGCAATCTTCAACCCAAAATATATTTCATTTTCAGCTGTGTGGAGATATTTGTTAAAAAATCTACAAAATACTATTTACTAAGTGAGCCTGGAAATGTTTCCTAAGTGTTCTTTATAAATTAAAACATAACACAAATTATCTAACATATATGTGTGTATGTATGTGTGTGTGTATGCGTGTGTGCGCACGCGCGTATGTGTATGTGTAAAATTTCAGATAAAGTATATATGTAAAAGGACAATAAAGACAAAAGGAACAATATCTACGATCTCCTCTGAGGGACTTTATCAAGTTTTTGCAAGGATTTTATTTTGTGACAATTATATTTGGTTTTTCAAATTTTTAAATTTAAGAACGCTCATAAATATTCACCAGGTTTGCTGAAGAGTCTAGGCAAGCTATGGAGGACGCCAAGTGACATAATTCAATGACTAATGAACTAAAGTTAGTAAATGATGTTCTTGAATTTTTGTTAATTTAGTATTTATTTTTGTTTCGGATTAATTTATGTATTATATATTTTAAATAATATGAGGTTGTAAATAATGCCTATACGAATTTATAAACTTCTTATAAATTGATTTTGACACGATTATTAGGCATAAAACTCCTATTCACAAGATTTTTTTTTCTGTTACCTGCGTACAGATTGGGATTCATTTCGTAATTTTCTTCTCGAGACCACATAGAATAAAACTTTTAAACTTCCTATTGAGAACTGAACTACTGAGGTTTCTTTCTTTGGTTAGAGCCAGAACCTCGGAAGTTAGAAACCACAATCTTCTTCTTACTTCACACCTGCTTTTTCAGTCGCTATAGCCCACAGAAATCACTTTTTCCGGCTGAACCAACTTGATATTTCTTATCACAACAGACATATTAACAAAAAGGTTCAATCTTTGTTCATTGTCAGAATGAGGCACCATATTGCCTCTAACAAATTTGGTTCTCGTGATTACTGGCGGCTGTGTAATAGTGTGTTCAATAAGAGTAAGTCTTCTATCTCTCCTCTCTTCACTCAATTTAAAGTGTTAATATTTTTTGCTGATAAAGTAGAATTTTTTGCGCGTAAATTCCAATTCTACACTTGAGTCATCTGGAGTACCTTTACCTGACATTCTAATAAGAACCGAGCCTCTACTCTGCGATATGTATACAATGGGGGGAAATAAATATTCGTACATCATGAATTTTTTTTTATTTAACGTACTTTAACTTTTGAAAAAACTTAAAATCCATACAATTTTTCTACGTCTTTGCATAATGCTGCAATATGCGAAAACAATTAGAAATCTTTGTTATAAATAAAATTATGTATTATTTATAACATTCCGAGGCGAAAAAGTATTCATACAAAATGTCTTTAATATCAAAAGGCTTAAATTACCTTTATTTACATATGTTGTAACGTAGGAAAGGTTACTGAATGAGGATTAAACAAAACGGAAGTTGCAAATGAAACGGTAATCTTTATAACATCATCAACAAAATACAATACTCACCAGCGGCGTGAAGTAGGTAAACCACTGCTAGTGGTGGACTAATTAGACAGCAGATTATCCAGCGTATTTATAAGGAGTGAGACATACCCATTAGTGGTCATAAGTATGGTATATAACAACATAATTTTTGTAAGCTTTTTCTAGATTCTTCCAATTATCTTATTACCAGAACATTCTAGAACATTCCGCAGATCATTTTTTATATAAGGTTATCTCCGCACACAAATATTTATCATCATAGGGAAAGGTAAGAAACTATCAAGCCCGCAGAAAGAATTGATCATCAAACATTGGCAAAAGCTACAGAAAAATAGCAGATATCCTGAATATACCATTTACTATTATTAGTACCGTTATTGTTAAATATAAAAAGGTGAAAACTGTTGAGAACAAATCGAGGTCCGGTGCACCACGCGAGATTTCTACCAGATCAATGAGAAAAATTCAGCGCAAAATACAAGGAAATTCAATGACTACTCGGAGAGAAATAAATGAAGAATTAAAAGCATCAAGTATTATTGTTAGAAAGCGAACAATAAGCAACGACTTCATAGACGTCAACTAAGATCGTGTTCTCCAAGAAAAACTCTACTACTATTGAAGAAACTTAGGGATGCCCGCTTAAAATTTGTTCGTGAGCATAAGAATAAACATGAATCATTTTGGGAAAGTGTTTTATGGGCAGATGAAGATAAAAATGAACAATTTAAGCGTAATTCAAGGATTCACGTTTGGAGAAAAGACGGCACAGCCTTTATGACGAAGAACATAATCCCAACGGGGAAATTTGGTGGTGGCAATATGGTTGGGGATGACTTTCTGCTAATGATATGGGTAATTTAGAAATAATAGATGGTAGAATGAATTCAAAAATATACCAAAATGTTTTGGGCTCTAATTTGTTTGGGTCAATCGTAAAGCTTGGACTCCCAAATGAATGGGTTTTGCAACAAAATAATGACCCTAAACATACAGCTAAATTTACGAAAAATGGCCTATTAAAAACAATGTCAGTACATACGAATGGCTATCACAGGGAATAGGGAATTTGTGGCGTTTATTAAAATTTCAAGTTAATAAAAGATAAACACCCTGGACCTATAGAAAATATACAAAGAATGAAAGAAAATACCAACGAAACTTGCAAATCATTGATTAAAAGCTACAAAAAGAGACTGAATGCTGTTGAATTGCTTCGTCTGTGCCGCGCCAAGAAATTTTTCTCCCCGGAATCGATACTTCAAATATACAAATCAACCATTTGCCCTTGCATGGAGTATTGCTGCCATATATGGTCTGGGGCACCTTCTGTTTACCTCGGAGTTCTTGACAAGATCCAGAGACGGATACGTAATATAATTGGCCCTGTTCTGGCATCTCGTCTACAGTCACTCTCTCACAGATGCGCCGTCGCCTCTCTCTGTCTTTTCTACAAATACTTTCATGGTAATTGCTCCGATGAGCTGCTTTCACTGGTTCCCAGACTCCATGAATTCAAGCGCCCTACGAGGCTGGCATCCCACTCTCACCCTTACACTGTAGAAACTTTTAAATGTAGCCGTCTCTTCTACTCCAATAGCTTCATACCTCGCACCTCTCGCCTGTGGAACACCCTTCCCAATTACTGTTTCCCTGAGAGCTATAATCTCCAACTATTCAAATGTAATGTCAATCGACATCTCCAGTTACCTTGATCTATCCACTCTCCCTCTCCTCATCCTTTCTTCTATCACTCCTATCTGCTCTTGCTCCTAATCTTCTGCAACCCTCTGCATCCTAGAATCTCTAAACTTTACAATAAATGCCTTACTGTTTCTTGCTTTCCTGCTTGTTGGAAATCATCTTATGTAGTTCCTGTCTTTAAAAACGCAGGCGAACTGTCTGATCCTTTTAACTATAAGCTACATTTTGGGACAAAATACTAGAGAGTCTAATCAACTCTGAATTGGTTAAGTTTCTTACCACCCAGGTTTTTCTTTCAGATAATGTGACATTCGCTTCTCTTGATCAACTGATGTGTTAACGGTTATTGCTAAAAGACTATATCAAGCTTTAGATAAGAATGAAGCTGTTGCTTTGAATATATTGAAGGCATTTGACAAGATTTTCACAAGTTGAGCGGTTATTGTAATTCTGTGTGATTTTTTTTTATTTGATTCAATTTTTCTCATCAAATCACGAAATTTTCTTAAACGGTTAATTTTCTAGATTTTTTAATGCGGCTGTCCCCAGAGTTCTATCGTTAGACCTATTTTTTTTCCCTAAGTTTCATCAGTGACCTTCTCGATGTATATTAGTTCTGCATTTGGTATCAATACTGCTGGCACAGCTATTTATTTATGACTTAATCGTAATTCTAATATCCAATAAGTCTAATTGGCAACTGGTCTAAAAATGACCGCATCTCTGTTATTAACTGGGACAAGAAATGGCTTGCTAATTTTAACACCTCCAAAATGAAACTGCTCAATTGTAATTGTCTTCCATTATCATGACTGATGCTAGCCCCCAGGAGGGTAACATTGCGCTTTCTCGGACAAACGCTTTCCTCTAATATGAACTGGAACGATTATATTGAATTAAGTGCTAGGTCTACAATCCATGCATTGAATATCGCTGTTACATCTGATCTGGTTCTTCTGCTACGTATTTAGAGATTCTTGATACAAAGAAGAATCTGCAGTGTTATCGGTCTTAACTTGACATCTCGGCTCCAGTCACTTTCTCATCGCCGTAACGTAGCTTCTCTGTAAATTTTCTATAAATATTTTCATGGTAATTGTTCTGATGAGCTTTCTTTGACTTTATAAAGTTAAGCGCAGTAGTGGATTGAAAGTTAGGTTAAATCATTTTTATTGTTTAGATTGTTAGATTTATTCATAAGTTTTATTTTAACAGTTTCTTATCTTACATTTCTGGTTTGGGGAATTTTCTTTCGGTTTCTTGCTTTCAAAAACTTAAATACAGTCAGTCATCATCATCATCATCTGTCATTTTACTGCATTTTCTCTTAATGGCCTCTCTCCTTAATAATGTTTTTCTTCCCTTTTTGTTTTAAATTTAGTAACCTTTTTTATTGATTGATTCGTTTTTTACGGCTTATACCCTACTATTATCAAGGCTTAGTAGTCAGTCAAAAGAAAATACCTTGAAGTAATTAGAAACGAGTGAATACCAAAATCCGAAGGTGCTATGAAAAGAGAAATAGCCTTTAATGGTAAGTCTTTTTCAGGTTATTTAAACCTAGAAAATATTTTAGATTGTAAGTATTTTTTATATGATAATGTTTTTAGTGATAGAATTCTTACTAATTAACCCATAGCTGGAGGAAGAAGAGGTGGATTCATACCTTTCCTTTTCCGTATCTGCGCGTAAGTGAACATAACCCGACGAGAATTGGAACTTGACTCTCCGATTAACAAGCCGTTAACCATCACCCGCACATCCAAGCGTACAGTACCTGGTATTCCCAAATAGTCACCCACCTAGTTACTGACCAGGGCCGACGTTGCTTAACTTCGGTGATAGTACAGGAACCGGTGTTTCAACGTGAAGTAGCCGTAAACCTTTTTATTGCCTTGCTTAAGCTGATATGATTTTTAAAAATTTGTTTATGTCTTTTCGTCTATGATAATTTCTATTTATCTTTGAAAATCTCCGTAAAATTATTATTATTATTATTATTATTATTATTATTATTATTTAGGCTTTAAAAATGCAAACCGCTGCTTAAAACGTTTTTGCATTTTCCATCATTACTATATGACAGCGTGTCTGAAGCGGATGGAAAAGAGGCTTCAGAAAGATAAATATAAAGTAATTCTGCGTCTTATATAGAAAAGGTTATAAATTTCATATATGTAGATTTAAATCAATATGTATTGGTTCATGTGTGTTACAGGTAGTTTATGAAATAATCCTTCAAAATATTTATAATAAATATAACAATTAAGTAAATATTGGACGTATAGATTTCACTTTAGAGTTACAAAAATACTTTAAATAAAGAATTAATTTCCTGATCCTCACAAAAATATTCTTTCGGATAAGTCTTCTATCTCTCATTGTGTCTAGATCATAGAAAGAATGGCGCCACACTTCCCAGCCCAATTAATGACGCCGCTGGAATAACTTGAAAACTAATTAATAAAAAATCCAACAAAACAGATTCAGGCAAATTCATTAGAAGAAAGAGAAAAGTCGTTGTTAAACAAAGTGAAAAAGAAAAATGGCAGGCAAAAGGAATGTCCAGATAATTATTTTCTAGGGAAAATATTTGAAAACAAAATGGCGCGTCTGAATTTTTTTATGTTTTAAATAATGTGGTGCATAAATCTTGAAAGTTTATTCATTGGCTGTATGTTTTAGTTGAAGACTGAATAAAGGATTCAGTGAAAGCTTGTTCGCGAGTGCACACGTGTGTGTATGTGTGTGCGCGCGTGCGTCTGTGTGTGTGTGTGTGTGCGCGCAAAGGAAATGAAACGTGCATAACATGTTGTTCCATAAAGGAATGCTAAACTATACAGCACACTGTATACACTCGTATATAAATGTATACTACAGTGATAATAATAATGTGTACATTACTATTCCACTGTATTCTACAGTGTATACTTATGTGTTTACTTATATCTGTATATGTGTGTCAAACGTGTTCGTGTTAAACCGTGTCGGATGGAAGACATTACACTTTGAATAGGATCATAAAAGATTCACAAAAATACCTCTTAAATCTTCTACGCTCCTCACAATCTCCGTCCACCGTATTCTCAGTATCCTTCTGCAGAAAACAATGTTTTCAAACCGCTTCTTTATTTGTGAGGAAATTGTCCGACATTCGCTACCATGTAAAAGAATTGATATTAAATAGCAATTGAACACACTTTTCTTTGTTTCTAACGAAATCTTTCTGTTTCTTAATACTTTATTTAATTTTTGGAAAGGTTATTTCTCTTTTTCATAGCACCTTCGGATTTTGGTATTCACTCGTTTCTAATTACTTCACGGTATTTTCTATTGACTGACTACTAAGCCTTGATAATAGTAGGGTATAGTTCATTATTTCACACATTGTTTACTTGTATCATTTTGTTTTCCAAAAACATCCTATAGATATAATTTTTTAACTAAAACCGATACTGGATAATCAATGATATTATTATTAGTAGTAGTATTAGTAGTAATAGTAGTAGTAGTAGTAGTAGCAGTAGTGGTACCAGAACTAGTAGCTGTAGTAATAGTAGTTCATGTTGTCCAAGATTCTTCCATATGTGAACGTGTGCATGTGTTTATGAGTTGATATGCAATGTGTTTATGTAAATAGTAAATAATGTCTCTCTCTCTCTTTATATATATATATATATGTGTGTGTGTGTGTGTGTGTGTGTGTGCGCGCGCGCGGGCGTGTAAAACTTTCGGGCAGCTTGGTAAATTAATCAATTTTGTTAATTTTTACACCGAAATGGAGAATGATTAACAATATGCTTTTAAGATATACGGATATTTTATGGTCTTTAAGAGCCAGAAAGCAAGTTATTGCATTTTCCTGAATGCTAGATGATAGAACATCTTAACCATAGAGATGCATTAAAAAAAGTCGTGAAAAAATACAGTGCCACCAGTGAAAATGTCACATTTCATCTATTAAGTATTTTTTTTTTTTTTGTAAAAAGCTGTCTTTATTGTTACAGAAAATACCAAAGTTCAAATTATCGAGTTAGTAATTAGTATTTCTGCGTTTGACTCGAATAATATCCTCAATTCGATGTGACATTGAATGGATTAAGGTCAAGATTTTCTCATTTGGAATTTTTTCCTATTCTTCTAAAGTTTTTGAAGATTGCGTGGTTTTCGTTGAAGCACTTGTATCTTCAATTTCCACCACCATGGTTCAATTATATAGATCAGGACATTGTGTTGACCAGTCTTCCAAAAGTTGAACATTTTCAACCACAAGGAACCTTTTTGTTGCACATAAATCGTGGCAAGGAGCATCATCATACTGAAAGATTTTTCCATCTTCGTAGTCTGATAGAACCCCGTAGTAAACTAATATAGTTTTCGCTGTTTAAGTCTCACAACATTTAATTTTGTCTTAGTAGAAATTTTAACCATAATTTTTGTGTAAAAATGTAAGCTCATGTTCAACATTCATTGTCTCAATAATTCTACATTGCCTTAAGAAATGCGAAGAATTAACTAGCACGGTACAGCGTCGATCTACTAAATTATGTAATGGTTTGGTTTCAGTTGGCCTTGCATTGGTACTTGTGTGGGTAATGGATGGTAACGTACATCCCACACCTCTCTCTCTCTCTCTCTCTCTCTCTCTCTCTCTCTCTGGGTGTGTGTGTGTGTATTTATAGAAAAAAGTGTGTATATAGAAAAAAAAGAAAGTATCATGTAATTTTATTAATTTCTTTTACGTTCAAATTCGAATTTGTTTATTTCAGGCATTCGTCATATTTATCAAGAAGAGTTATATTCGCTTTATTTTTATTTGTAATGTTATTTATAATTGCTTGAATGAATATCATCAATTTCTTTTAAAATACTAATGTAACATTAGGCCTTGCATTTAATCTGTATTTCATTTTTCTAGCGATTTTCATTGATTGTTTTTGAGCCTTAGTTACGTTTATATTGTCTTTCTTGCTTTGCTGATTCAGCTAAATCGTTATTTAACTGATGTAGAGGATGATACCTTCTGTGGATCAAAATAAATAGCGCATTGTTTGAATATTTAAACTTCAATTGAGAAAAATAACATAAGACGGCTAACGAAGTAATATTTTGTTCAAATTTCATAGATGAAAGATTTTCAAGTAAATTTACTCGTATTTGTTTCATCTTATTTCTTTTACTTTCCATCAAAACAATGTCTCTGGGTAGACTCGAAATCGCATCCCTTGGAAAACAGGGTTTTTTTTTCTGCGGCAGTTACTTTATCGATTAATATAGGAAGCCAAATCGGCTACAATAAATAAAATTTAGTCGTTTTATTATTTATTTTCTTCAAGCGCTTGATTGGACGTTATCTTCCATTAGTAGTGGTAGTCGTAATTTTATTCCATTTTTTTATTAAAATTACAAATTCGATGAAATAGTGTCAAATATTATTAACTTTTTTTAACTTTTTACTTGTATTTCATTGATGTTAATTTAATTTGCTTTTAATTGCAATTCCTACATCACCATTTTGTGATTGGATGCTGTGTTCTTGTTGAGAAAAAAGACAAAATTACTTTAGCCAGAAAATTGTTAGGACGTCCCTCAACAATTGGATGAAACCATTAAAATTTCGTGGAATTTAATCATTTTCTTTAAACATGTGTGGGAAATCATTATTAATCTTTGACTCTAATTTCTTTCGTCTAATTTTACAACCAGTAAATAAACAGCGTAGATCGAAAGTAAAGACATCTTCAGTGAAATGTGAACTCATATCTTTTATCCTTTCACATTCATCTTCCCGATATAGTCTTTAAGTGGCTTCGCTACAAAAATCTTTTTGCCAAACGCCGCTCAAATAGTCTATATACTACTTTTGTCACTATTGCACAGTCATTATATTTGTTTATATGCATCAATAATATAAGACAAATCCTAAAACACCGTTTTTATATCAGATTAACCCCCACCACTTATATCTGATACTGCAGTATTATATAATTAGGCAAATTTTTTTCCGGCTATTTACTTTCCTGTCAACTACAAACTTAAAATTTAAATGCAACATCACGCGTTAACTCCTGTCTTTCTAAATCCTGGTCTTTTTGTTTTTTACCTTTCCTCACACTAACGTTTTCTCATTTTCTTTCATTCTCAGTAACTTCTTGCCTGATATGAAATGATTAAAAACAAATCGAGAAATACATCGAAAGTTCAAAATAAACGTATTTTCAAGAATTAATGCAAGAGTCTCTGACATAATAGAAATATTATATTTACAATTATATTAATGTAATATTACCCGCGCATTTCTGCGTGTCACACAATTTTTTGATAGGAAATGATGACTGGTTTTAAATCATTGCTATAATTTGTGGAGAAAAATTGGTGCATTACAAAATTGCTTAATGTTCTTACCGATATGACCTCCATCTTCTGGTTTTCTCTTGTTCAAATTTAAATTTAATTTAAATCAAAAGGAAAACAATTTTCAGTTGTGGGTGAAGCCCCCCCCCCTTCAAGGACCCCCTTTGATCAAAGTGAAATATAGTTATCCAAGTACCCTGGGTGTAGTTTCGGAATATATATGGTTGGGGTGGGGCTTTCTCCAAAACCCTATGAGGAGTTCGATAGCAGACAGCCAGAGACAACAACTTTATATATAGAGAGATTTCATTCAATTCTATTACTATAGAAAATATTAGAAATGATTTTACTCTAAAGGAAGAAAAGTAATATCTGTGGTTAGAAATTAAAGAAAGCGTCATTAGTAGAGTAAGGCTATGATAGGTATACTTTTCTTATTTTTAAAATATTTAAATTATGAACAAAGGAACATAAGTCATCTCTCAACATTCTGTTTTAAAGGATTTCGTTATGAATACAAC